ACTGAGCCACGTAGGCGCCCCCTGAAATGAATATCCTTGTTCATGTCCCCTATGCTAATGTGCAGGAGTTTCTATAAGCATATACCATTTATTTATTTATTATTATTATTTTAAGTTTTTATTTATTTTTCAGAGAGAGAGAGAGAGAGCATAAGCAGGGGGAGCAGCAGGCAGAGGAAGACGCAGGCTCCCCACTGAGCAAGGAGCCTGATGCAAGACTTTATTCCAGGACCCTGGGGTCATCACTTGAGCCAAAGGCAGACACTTAGCCTACTGAGCCACCTAGACATCCCTGCCTTTTAAATTAATACTCCCCCCCCCGAAAAGTTCCACGAGCCAAGGTACAAGTTGTTTTTCAAAATAAAAATATCAAAAATTTCAGCCTATTGTGCTATCATGAAACTTGTAAGAGCTCCAACCAAACCAGTTTAGTTGCTATTAGATATTCCTTACCTCCTCTCAGACCTGTTGAGCTGCAATGAGCAATTCTGTCTAGCTTTAGAATAGAGAAAAGAATCTGCCAGCCCCCCTAGGAAAAATTGAGAGCATCGTGGAGGTTAACAGTGTATTTCATTCAAAATGAAGAAGTCAGTAGATGGTAATCCAATCAGTAATTTCAGAGGCATCTATGCTTTATATAGTTTTAACTTTGGTATTTTGTAATTTATTTTTCTAAAGTTGAGTTTTTTCCCCTTCTCTGTCTCTGTCCAAATTACAGTCACCCTTGTCTTCCTCTGTACTCAAGTACTGGTCTTCTTTTCTATGTAGATGACTAGCTTAACTCCTTATAACTCTATAGTGGAAAAACACTGAACTAAATAATATGAAATGGAAAAAGCTTGAGTTGTTGGTTTTTTTTTTTAAGATTTTATTTATTTATTTGACAGACAGAGATCACAAATAGGCAGAGAGACAGGAAGAGAGAGAGGAGGAAGCAGGCTGCCTGCCGAGCAGAGAGCCTGATGCGGGGCTTGATCCCAGGACCCTGAGATCACGACCTGAGCTGAAGGCAGAGGCTCTAACCCACTGAGCCACCCAGGCGCCCCAAAGCTTGAGTTTTGATGCTGGATGGACCTTGGTTCTAATTCTGGTTCTACTAGCTGTATATCCTTACGCAAGGTACTTAACCTCCTGAGCCTACATTTCTTTCTCTGAAGTGGTGTTATCTTTGAAGATTAAATGAGGAAATTCTTGTAAAATTACTCCTTTTTTTTTTTTTTTTTTTAAGTTAGTAATGTACTCCTTCTCTGAGTAGAGGATCTTCAACTCCTAGTGTATGTAAGAATCACTGGGGAGTTTAGTAAAATTTCCAGGCATCACTCCAGGAGATTCTGATATAGTAAGTCAAGGTTGGGATGCAGTAAATCTGGGTTTTAAACAAGCTACTTGGGTAATTTTGAAGCAGGCGATTAGTAGACACACTTCTAGAAATGCACTACCTTTGGTTCCTTGGTTGTAAGTTTAGCTTTGTTAGTAAATAGCTTATAACTATGGGCAAATCATTCCCACGTTCTGGGCCTTATGTTTCCTCACATATAAAATGAGTGACTGAACTTTATGGTCTTTACTGGCTATAAAATTTTAAAAATGTTGGTCTTATATTCCTAAATTTTTGGTCTGCTGATCTGCTGCCACTTTCTGGTGAGGTTCAGTAGAGGTACTTAAATGATTTATTCCTTTAGAACTTGAATTATTTTTCCTTTTGTGAAGACTTTGGTAAAACTAGCTTAAGCAAAGGCAATATTTATTTATTTATTTATTTTGAGTGAGAGAGAGAGAGCACGAGCATAGGGCAGAGGGAGAGGAGGAGGAATAAAGGGAAAGGAACAGGAAGGGAGGGACAGAGGGAGCAGGGAGAGAGAGACAGTCTTAAGCAGGCTCTACACCCAGTGTGGAGCTGACTTGGAGCTTGATCTCCCAACTCTGAGATCATGACCTAAGCCAATATCAAGAATTGGATTCTTTTTTTTTTTAAATTTAATTTATTTATTTGACAGACAGAGATCACAAGTAGGCAGAGAGGCAGGCAGAGAGAGAGAGGAGGGAAGCGGGCTCCCCGCTGAGCAGAGAGCCCGATGCGGGGCTCGATCCCAGGACCCTGAGATCATGACCTGAGCCGAAGGCAGAGGCTTTAACCCACTGAGCCACCCAGCTGCCCCAAGGTAATCTGTTTTAATGATGCAAGGATATGTCATGGAACCTTAAGTCAGGATGCAGTGAGGCCTCAGGAATTGGGTAATATAGCACATTGGGAAAATTAAGTTCTCTCCTTATCTTTTTTTCATTGTGGATTGGCCTCAATCTCTTAACTTTTTCTGCCTTCTAGGCCGTGTGGTAGAAAATGGCCATGGTGGGGCACCTGGGTGGCTCAGTGGGTTAAGTCTCTGCCTTCGGCTCAAGTCATGATCTCAGGGTCCTGGGATTGAGCCCTGCATTGGGCTCTCTGCTCAGTGGGGAGCCTGCTTCCCACCCTTTCTCTGCCTGCCTCTCTGCCTACTTGTGATTTCTCTCTCTAGTCAGATAAATAAATGGAATCTTAAAAAAAGAAGAAGAAAAAAAGAAAATAGCCATAGCCAATAGTTCCTGAGTTTACATGGTTTTAAGAATTATTTTTAAGTAGTCTCTATACCCAACATGCGGCTTGAACTTACAACCCTGAGATCAAGAGTCTCATACTCTACCCACTGAGCCAGCCAGGTGCCACTACATGTCTTCCATTTTAGGAAGCAGCCAGTCTGAGGCTAGGATATCTTAATTCCAATTCCAAATTGCCAGGAAAGGAGCTGTGATTGGTCCATATTGGGTAGACTGCTGCTGAGTTTTGTCTAAAGCTAAGGAAGCATGGTCATATATTGTAAGGATAGCCCTGGGAGCCCTGCTGCTATTCTCCTTGGTTAGAGGTAATAGAGCTGGTCTGGGCTAGGTATTCATCACTTTTATGAAAGCATTTTACTAATTGAAAAGTCAAAATGTTGTATTCTACATACGACCCTTATAATCATTTCTCTGGGAAAAAAGTAGAAGTAGGGAGAGATGGCTAAAAGAAAACATGGGTTTGCATTTTTATTCTTAATCACTGCACCAGATGGGATGGAGCCTTCAGTAGTCATTTCTGCTAGACTGTACTGTTTAATTAGTAATAAAATTTTAAGTTGCTTTTAGATAATGGTTTTCTTTTTCTTTTTTTAAAAAAGATTTGTTTATTTTATTTTATTTTAAGATTTTATTTATTTATTTGACAGAGAGATCACAGGCAGGCAGAGAGGCAGGCAGAGAGAGGAGGAAGCAGGCTCCCTGCTGAGCAGAGAGCCAGATGCGGGGCTTGATCCCAGGACTCTGAGATCATGACCTGAGCCGAAGGCAGCGGCTTAACCCACTGAGCCACCCAGGTGCCCCAGATTTGTTTATTTTAGAGGGAATGTGTGAGCAGGGTGTGTGTGGGGGGACAAAGGGTGAGGGAGAGAGAAACTTAAGCAGACTCCTCACTGCGTTTGATCTCACAACACTGAGATCATGACCTGAGCAGAAATCAAGAACTGGTTGCTAGGGGTGCCTGGGTGGTTCAGTCGTTAAACGTCTGCCTTCAGCTCAGGTCATGATCCTGGAGTCCTGGGATGAGCCTTGTATCGGGCTCCTTGCTCCTCAGGAAGCCTGCTTCTCCCTCTCCTACTCCCCCTGCTTGTGTTCCCTTTCTCGCTGTGTCTGTGTCAAATAAATAAATAAAATCTTAAAAAAAAAAAAAAAAGAGCCGGTTGCTTAACCCACTGAGCCACCCAGGCACCCTGGTTTTCTTCTTTTAAAATTTGTGTGTTTTCTTCTTTTAAAATTAATTTTGGGGTGCCTGGGTGGCTCATTCAAGCCTCCAACTCTTGGTTTTAGCTCAGGTCATGATTTCACAGTTGTGGGATCAAGCCTCGCGCATGGCTCTGTGCTCAGTGCTGAGTCAGTTCCAGATTCTCTCTCCCTCTCCCTCCTGCTCTCTCTCTCTCTCTCTAATAATAAATAAAAGTAAAATCTTTAAATGAAATAAAATAATACAGTTTTATAGTATAAAATATTCATCATTGTTTGATATATTTGGACTTAATTTTTCAAATGAAGAGAATATTATGTAGGCTATGAAAGGCATTGGTATGAACATATGCTTTTATTTTTTTGAAAAAGATTTTTTTAAAAATTTTATTTATTTATTTGACAGACAGAGATCACAAGTAGCAGAGAGGCAGGCAGAGAGAGAGGAGAAAGCAGGCTCCCTGCTGAGCAGAGAGCCCGATGCGGGGCTCGATCCCAGGACCCTGAGATCATGACCTGAGCCGAAGGCAGAGGCTTTAACCCACTGAGCCACCCAGGCGCCCCTGAAAAAGATTTTTTAAAAAAGATTTTACTTATTTATTTGAAAGAGAGAACACAAGCAGGGGAGTGGGAGAGGGAGAAGCAGGGTTGCCATGGGGCAGGGAGCCCGATGCGGGGCTTGATCCTAGGACCCTGGATCATGACCTGAGCTGAAGGCAGATGCTTAACTGAGCCACCCAGGCACCCCTGTTATTTTGTTTTTTAGAATGTAATTGGTGATCTTTATTATAGTCTACTCATATTAAAGACTGACTTTGTCTTGGGCTTTAAATATATAAGTATTTTTTGAAGGTAAAGGTATAAAGTGGTTTTTTTTTTTTTAAGATTTTATTTATTTACTTGACAGAAAGAGAGAGAGATCACAACTAGGCAGAGCAGCAGAGAGAGAGAGGGAGAAGCAGGCGCCCTTGCTGAGCAGAGAGCCTAATGCGGGGCTCAATCCCAGGACCCTGTGATTATGACCTCAACCAAAGACAGAGGCTTAACCCACTGAGCCACACAGGTGCCCCATAAAATATTTTTTTTAAATCTGAAATTCAAGAGCTAGAACATGAAAGAGGAAATATTTTTACGTTGATAATTCATTAATTTGCATGTATGTAATCATTCATGGTTTTAGTGAAATACCTTTCTGATCTCTCATTTAGTGTCAAACCAGAAGAGAAGTAAAACTCAACAAAATTTTATTATGTGTGGAGTTCCTTCTTAAAAGAAGAAAAAAGTGATTATTGAGACTATGGATCGGAGCAAACGGAATTCAATCGCAGGCTTTCCTCCACGTGTGGAGCGTCTTGAAGATTTTGAAGGAGGTGGTGGAGGAGATGGGAACGTGACCCAAGTGGGAAGAGTTTGGCCATCTTCATATCGAGCTCTTATAAGTGCCTTTTCTAGACTGACACGTTTAGATGACTTCACCTGTGAAAAAATAGGGTCTGGCTTCTTCTCTGAAGTGTTCAAGGTGAGTGATGCCTCTGCTTTTCTCATTTTGGCTTGTTGATAATCACCTTTACTGCCAGGCTGATAATTGTGTGTAATTAGTACATAGGCTTTACCTAATTGGGGTGAGGGTGCTATGGATCTTGATCAGTGTTCTAAACTGTCCTCTCCTTTGGCTTTGGGACTGCTGGTGGCTGTGGGCCTGGCCAGTGCTGCACTCTTGCTGGTCCATGGTGTGGCCCTGGGCAGGATACTGGGTCTTACTTGCTGGTGGGGACCCTGGAGTCTTCAGTGCACGTGCTCCCAGATGCACTCAACAACAGGAGAACTCAGGAGGGTTCTGGGGATGGCCTGAGCCAGCCAACAGATTGGAATCACCCTGAAGACGGACATTCTTGTGTGGTTTACATCATATCTGCAACTTCTATTTATGCCTGGGAGGCCTGACCTGCCCATTTTTCATCAGCGCCTATAGTTAAACCTGGATATTTTTGTATTTACTTGGTGGTGCCTAAACTCTGCCTCAGACACTTTGAGGAAAGGGTGGGTGGGAGAATTTTACCACTGGGAATTGTATCCTGTTTTTTCCTCTCCCATCTCTCCAGAGACATTTATAAAGGCTCTAGTTTTAATAAAAAAAAAACAAAAAACAAACAACTATTGGGGTACCTGGGTGGCTCAGTCGTTGAGCATCTGTCTTCGGCTCAGGTCATGGTCCCAGGATCCTGGGATCGAGCCCTGCATTGGGCTCCTTGCTCGGTGGGGAGCCTGCTTCTCCCTCTCCCACTACCCTGCTTGTGTTCCCTCACTGTATCTCTGTCAAATAAATGAAATCATAAAAAAAAATAAACTATTAACATCTATTTTATTTTATTTTATTTTTTTTTAAAGATTTTATTTATTTATTTGAAAGAGAGGCAGTGAGAGAGAACATGAGCTAGGAGAAGGTCAGAGGGAGAAGCAGACTCCCCGTGGAGCTGGGAGCCCAATGTGGGACTCGATCCCGGGACTCCGAGATCATGACCTGAGCTGAAAGCAGTCGTCCAACCAACTGAGCCACCCAGGCGTCCCAACATCTATTTTATTTTAATTATAAAACTGATACATACTGATCAAAACCTCAAATAATATAGGAGTCTCTTTGGGGCGCCTGGGTGGCTCAGTGGGTTAAGCCTCTGCCTTTGGCTCAGGTCATGATCCCAGGGTCCTGGGATCGAGCCCCACATCGGGCTCTCTGCTCGGCGGGGAGCCTGCTTCCCCCTCTCTCTCTGCCTGCTGCTCTGCCTACTTGTGATCTCTGTCTGTCAAATAAATAAATAAAATCTTTAAAAAAAAAACAACAACATAGGAGTCTCTTTTACCCTCCCGCCTTCTCTTTCTCTCTCTCTCTACACTATTAATAATTTGATATGTATTCTTCTGGACCCTTTTCTCTCCTTATACATACACATCTTATATACATACATAGAATTTTGTATATACATGTAAGAAGATATATACACACACATATACCCACACATACAGTTTTTATTTGGTTATTTTTTTTTAAAGATTTTATTTATTTATTTGACAGAGATCGCAAGTAGGCAGAGAGGCAGGCAGAGAGGGAGAGAGGAGGAAGCAGGTGCTCGGCTGAGCAGAGAGCCCAATGTGGGGCTCGATCCCAGGTCCCTGAGATCATGACCGGAGCCGAAGGCAGAGGCTTTAACCCACTGAGCCACCCAGGCGCCCCTATTTGGTTATTTTTAATAAAGCAGGGCACTTAGTGCTCCCAAATGTTCATATTTTCCTGATTCATTTATTCTTCCAGAACATTATTTCATACTTTTTCTTCTCTCATCTGACATTCAGTATTTTTTCTCAGTGATGAACTTGCTTCCTAATTCACTGAGAAAACTGAAGGAAGCTGGAGAACTTCTACAGCCTGCAGTCACCACAAATAGCTACTAACCCATATCTTCCCCACCTACTCAGCCTTTATACTTGTCACTATGGATGAACTACCCATGGTAAAATCTAAGCCATATTTCCATTTGTATTCTATATCATTTTTCTAGTCGCCTACTCAAAGACATTACCTAAGAAATTCTCCCCTCTCTTTCCTATATCATATTTCGCTTTCTGTTAAATAGAAGGTTTAGAAGTTAATGGGAATCATTTATTTCTCTTACCTTAAAAAAAAACTTTAAACAGGGAAAAACATATTTTGACCCTAACATCCCCCATAGCTATACTCCCTCATGTTCTCTCTTTCTCTTCTTTTTTTTTTAGAAAGAGAGAAAGAGCTTGTAGGGAGGGAGGCAGAGAGAATCTTAAGCCAATTCCACGCCCAATGTGGATCCTGATGCGGGGCCCAGTCTCATGACCCTGAGGTCAGGACCTGAGCCAAAATCAAAAGTCAGAGGCTTAACCAACTGAGCCACCCTGGTGCGCCTCCCTCATGTTCTTCTTTTGGACTCAAAACACCTCCATAGCATTGCCTCCACTCACCATTTCTTATACTTTTCCTTCTATTTTCTCTTTTTTTTTATTGTGGTAAAATATATATAACATAAATTTACCATTTTAACCATATTAAGTACATAGTTCAGTAGCATTAAGTACATTTGTGATGTTATGTGCAACCATCACCATTATCTCTTTCCAGGACTTTTTCATCATCCCAAACAGAAACTTTGTACCTCATTGAATGATAACTCCCATGTCCTCCTGCCCCCAGTCCCTATTAACTGTTGGGTTTTCTTTCTCTTTGAATTTTCCTTTTGTAGGTACCTCATTATTAATGGAATCACACAGTATTTGTCCTCTGTCTGGCTTATTTCACTTAGGGTAAATTTCATCCACATTGTAGCATATATCAGAATTTTTATGGCTGAATAATTTTTTTATGGCTGAATAATATCGTATTGTCTGTGTCTACCACATTATGTTTATCCATTCATCTGTTGGTAGACATCTGGGTTGTTTCCACCTTTTGGTTATTGTGAATAATGCTGCTATGAACATTAGTGTACAAGTATCTGAGTTCCTGCACTCAAGTTATTTTGGGTATTTTTTTTTTTTAAAGATTTTATTTATTTATTTGACAGAGAGAGATCACGAGTAGGCAGAGAGGCAGGCAGAGAGAGACAGAGAGGGAAGCAGGCTCCCTCGATGCAGGACTCGATCCCAGGACCCTGAGATCATGACCTGAGCCGAAGGCAGTGGCCCAACCCACTGAGCCACCCAGGCGCCCCTTATTTTGGGTATTTAACTGTTAGTGGAATTCCTGGGTCATATAACAATTCTGTGTTTAACTTTAAAAAAATTTTTTTTATTTATTTACTTGAGAGAGAGAGAAAGAGAGAGAGTGAGAGAGCATGAGACGGGAGAAGGTCAGAGGGAGAAGGAGACTCCCTGAGGAGCTGGGAGCCCAAGGCGGGACTTGATCCTGGGACTCTGGGATCATGACCATGACCTGAGCCAAAGGCAGTCACTTAACCAACTGAGCCACCCAGGCCACCCTGTATTTAACTTTTTAAAAATTGTGGTCAAATACACATAACATAAAACTTACTGTCAATAATTTTTAAGTGTACAGTTAAGTAGTCTTAAGTATATTCACACTGTTGTGCAACCAATCTCCAGAACTTTTTCATCTTGTAAAACTGAAACTCTGTACAAATCAAACAACTCTCTCCTTCCTTCGTCTCCCAGCTTCTGACAGCAACCATTCTACTTTCTGTTTCTGTGAGTCTGACTACTCTAGATACCTTATATAAGTAAAATCATACAGTATTTGTCTTTTTGTAACTGCCTAATTTCACTTAGCCTATTTTTTTTTTAAAGATTTTATTTATTTATTTGACAGACAGAGATCACAAGTTGGCAGAGAGGCAGGCAGAGAGAGAGGAGGAAGCAGACTCCCTGGAGCAGAGAGCCTGATGCGGGGCTCGATCCCAGGACCCTGAGATCATGACCTGAGCTGAAGGCAGAGGCCTTAACCCACTGAACCACCCAGGCGCCCCGACCTAGCCTATTTTTAACTTTCAAAGGAACCAACATACTATTTTCCACAGCGACTACACCATTTTACATCCCCACCAGCAATGCATTAGAGTTCCAATTTTTCCATAGTTTCACCAACACTTGTTGTTTTTCATTTTTTAAAATGGAGCAAACCTAGTGGATGTGAAGTGATATCTCATTGTGGCTTTGATTTGCATTTCTCTAGTGATTAATGATGTTTAGTATTTTTTCTCGTGCTTATTGGCCTTTTATGTATCTTCTTTAGAGAAATGTCTATTGAAATCTTTTGCCCATTTTTTTAAAAGAAATGTAATTCCACTATAGTTAATGTACAGTGTTATGTTAGTTTCAGGTATATCATAGTGATTCAGCAGTTCTGTACGTTACTCAGTGCTCATGATGATAAGTACTCTTCATTCCCTTCACCTATTTCATCCAGCCCCCAGCCCACCTCCCCTTTGGTAACTATCAGTTTGTTCTTTATAGTTGAGTCTGTTTTCTGGCTTGTCTCTTTTTTTTTTCTGTTGGTTTGTTTTGTTTCTTAAGTTAGACATATGAGTGAAATCATATGGTATTTGTCTTTATCTAACTTATTTCATTTAGTGTTATACCTTCTAGATCCATCTGTGTTGTTGCACATGGCAGGATTTCATTCTATTTAATGGCTGAATAATATTCTGTTGTAGATATATACCACATCTTCTTTATGTATCCATCTAATGATGGACACTTAGGTTGCTTCCATATTTTGGCTATTGTAAATAATGCTTCAGTAAACATAGGAGTGCATATATCTTTTTGAATTAGTGTTTTTGTATTCTTTGGGTGAATACCCAGTAACAGAATTACTGGTTCATATGGTAATTCTATTTTATATTTTTTGAGGAATCTCTGTACTGTTTTCTGCAGTGGCTATACCACTTTGCACACCCACCAACAGGGCATGAGGGTTCCTTTTTCTTGACATCCTCCCCAGTACTTGTTGTTTCTTGTGTTTTGATTTTAGCCATTCTG